TTACAATTGAAGTGAATTTTTGGCATCAAATTGTGGGGGCTCACACACTTTAGAGAGGCTTTAAGGTAACATACGAGATAATGGCGGTGTTAATGGTTGCCAAGAGCGAGTCTGAAATAAACATACAAAGGCGTACTCCTTGAAGAGAAATTGTGATAACTATTGGTTTACATGATTGGCGAACATTCCAATGGGATGAGAATGCAACTTGTAGATGTTTCCCCTCTTTGAATTTAATCATAGACAGTTTGACTAACTCAATAGCAAGAATATGACTGAAAGTGGGACGTCTACACACGAAAACAAGTTATCCTTGCCATCAGCGCATTTTTCTTGTTTCTTTATATCAGTTCATGTCTCAACAATTATTGTATGCATGTGTGCAGCTGGATAGAATTTTGTTTCTACTCAAATTGTTTGTTTGTTCAGTCCACGAGATAGGAATTCAATGATGAACGTAACCAGGGGGTGTTTCACAAAGATCCTAAGTTGAACCTATTTCTAAGTTGGACTTAACAATTATGGAAGCCGTTAGCATCTATGAAAATATTTTGTAATAGTTATTTTAAAAGGCATAACATTTTGATTCAAAGCATTCATATTTTCTACTATCAAGGAGATTTCATGGTTCATGCGGAACTTATAAAAAGTCTAGAATACATAAATTTTCGCCTTTGAATACATTTTATTTTAAGGCTACAAAATGGCTCTCCATAATTTTAAGTCCAACTTAGAGTTAAGTTCGACTCATGATCTTTGTGAAACACCTCCCAGGTACCTCTATTCTAACTGTTTGAATGCACTGATTTTGAAGGATATCAAATACATGAATGCTGCGTTACCATGGTTACCTTCTGTTATTTGGATATTGAAAAAATATTATAATGAATTATACTCATTATCTGCCTGAGGTCTGTCCGACATAACCAATTCCGAGACAGGTTCAATTTGGTAAAGGTTGTGGGTATTTCCCAAGCTTATATCATTATAGCGTCGTCAAGCAACTAGAAAATATCGTACCATAAAATCATCTGCATCACACAAGGAGAGAAAAGGGGATAGTAGTTGTTATTGACACATATTTTGGTTATGAAATAGCAATTAAATGATAAGCTCATGCAAAGCATGAGATGTTCAAAAAAGAATACTTAGAAGGAATCCATACAACGGTTAGATAAGAAAGACGGGATTTCGTCTTGGAATGTCAAGGAGTTTGATAAGGATTCATTCCCGGGGGCACTTCGTCAATCGTGTAAAAGCGAATATACACTGAACAAGCTTCTTATAATGAGATAGCTTTTGTTATATTTCGTCAGAAGCAACGTTGCGAAAATATTTGTCCAGTACAGGGTCTTCGTATGAATAACGGGTGCATGCATGGACCTACTATGGTGCATGTGTGTGTCTGTGTATGGTAGGGGGGGGGGGTATGGTCATGTGTATTCGGCAGACCTGATATTCAGTTAAAGTGATTCGGTATTATTGCCTCAGATTCTGAAACTAAATCCGGGATTTAGCTGATGCAGCAATCATAATTTAAACCTTTTAGGTCAGTCAGGAATCTCATGACTTTTGCAAGCCGATTTCCCGTCTAATTATCAAGATATTTATGATTGGAAATCGAAATTTCATTTTTTCGTTTCTAACGGTTTTTATAACACTACAGTCTCTTGGGGGCAATGAGAATGGTAAAACCGGTCACTCAAAGATTTTTAGTTTTTTGAGGCACTTCATGATCATTTTCAAGCGCAGTTTTGTTAGGGCTTCAATATTAAACTACATCACAGACACTGGTAACACGTAGGGCCATGCATCTCAGATTTAACGTTGATAAACGATGCCTTTAAGGCTAGGACTTCTGCATCGTCAGCCCGAGAAAGGTATTTGAAACCATTGTAGCTATAGCTCACAGCATTAGAACATGAGTAATGAATTCACGTAATTAAACGGACATGGTTTAATTCATCCATGCTCGATTGAACAAACATGTTCAGTACAAACATGCTGAGTATAAAACATTCCTAACATATTTGAATTTGAAAACAACATGGGTGTGCAGATTCTTGGTTTTCAGTTTCTGATTGCAATTCTTATATCAACATTTTTCTCTCATGTCGATATACTGTATTTATTAATATACATAAGCATGAAGTTTTTTTAAATGACGAAGTGATTCAATTATTTAGTAATTAATAATGGAAACTTACAAACATGATATGTAAAGAGTATGGAAGCGCTTGGTAATATGTCAGTCGTTCGACCCATTGGGAGATAACTCTGTGATTAATATTTGAATTTTGGTTATCATTAGACGTCGTAATTTTGATGATAATTTCTCAGTAATGAATTATAGTTCGTCAAACAAGGGAAACACAAGGGCAGATCACATTCCTATGTGATTAATGTTATTTTTCTTAAATAAGGTATTCATATAACCATATAACCATTTAACCATATATGGTATTCATATTACAATATAACCATTTAACCATGGTATCCATATAACCATTTCTCATTTTCTTCAAGTATAAGTATAGGCCTGTTGAATAAAATCAATCAGTCAATTAATTGTTTTTTTAAGTCAAGACCAACAATAAATCACAACTGTTTATTTAACCTATGAACATTTTCCAATCGTTCATGCATCACAAAAAAAGTTATTGGAAATAATTTTTTAAGCAACCCCAGTATACTAACAAATCATACTCCGTCATTACTAACAAAGAAAAAATAAAAGTTATTGAAATTGCCTGTACAGAGTTAATTGGAGAGAATCTCGCAAGATGCATCACAGCGTTGCTAAATTGTGTTTAACAGTTACTGTTGAAAACAAATATCATAACATTCCTATTTTGCTGACCTTTCACTTTCACTAACCCGTTACTCTCATTTTTTTCTGCTTCTATTAAAATCAATTCAATACCAGGATGGACTTCCCCTTTAACATGAATAGACTACTTTTTATGTCTGTTAATAGCGTCAGGTGTTTTCCCCTCAATATTATTGATACGAGATATAGATTCCTTTTTCATCGGCGCATTTGTTTTTCATCAAATTATAGTATAGGCACGGTTCAATCAAATCATATTAATATCCTTATATCAATCCCTATGTCCCTCCCACTTAAAGGTACTATGTCCCATTTGCAGGCCAAACAAATGTAAAGGTTAAATTCCAACGGCATTTGAAAGATAACACTAATTTCAAACTTCCCTAAATGTTGAAAATGTCTTTAAGTGGAAAAATAACGACTATTAGTTGTCAAATCGACTTAAGTGCTCCCAAGTCAGTAAGTAATAGTCTGATTTTCAGACTATTGTACTGAAAGGTTGTACGTTTTGTGCTGCACAAAGAGTCAATCAGTTTAATTTTGGCCATTGCAAGAAGTGGGTTATTGATGTAGGCAAATGCTCATGTACCCTTTACAACTCTTTTCATGTATGTTATTACCAAAGAAGAACAGATTCTGAAGCCAGTCAGTCACTCAATAGTGTCTGACAGTGAAGTCTAGCAAGTAAACGGGTTTCCTTGCATAATTTGAATATGAGGACACTGCTAACGTTTAAATTTCACAGATAGGACATACATTACATGATAATTCCTGCAAAGTTCTACAGAATTTGATGATGGCTGCAAAAGGGACATAGTATCTTTAAGGGAAGAAAAACAATTACCCGTGGGCAAATAATGTTAGATGCCTTTCAAACATGTCAAAAGGGGGCGCATGGATATACGAAGGTAAATTGTCGATTGAGTGAGCACCCCTAATCGAGGTGCCCCATGTATCAGTCGCGAATCCAGCAAATCATGAAGCCAAGCCATAATTTTGCCGGTTCTTTATATATTCCCTACACTTAATATAATTCAAGCCGCCGAAGATGGCGTTATCAACGAACTCAATAATGCTCACTAGCCAGCCAGCCCAGCCCATGAGGACTGTTTTGCGATGGTGTTGTGGAGATCAAAATTAAATAGGCCGGATTTTGGATTAGCTTCCACTCCACTCCCGTTTGATTCCCCAGAAAGCAAAACAACAACAACAACAACAACAATACCAACAAATTATTGGGATTTAAGATCGTTATATTAGGCAGTCTTCCTTCCAGATACGTATATGCTCCATCCCCCCCACGAATCTGTGTAGGATTCTGCGCGCGTGTTCTACCCCTCCCCTTTTTTTCCTCATGGGTAAAAAGAAGTGGCGGATCCAGGGAGGGGGAGGGGGGGGGGGGGCCTGGCCCGGCTCCCTCCCCTGGGTAAAAAAACAGGTAAAAACACGTTAATTTTACCTTCTTTTTGGAGATGGCCCCCTCCCTTGGCACTCAAGGGGGGGGGGGTGGGGGCCGGGGGGAGGGATGCGATTTCATTTTTATATGCCTGTTCTCTTTATCTTTTGTGTTACCTCTTTATTTCATTAATATTTCATCTCATGTGTTTCATTTAATTCTAAATTCACATTGTACGTTAATTAAAGCCTATGTTCTAGGAGTCAAGCTATGCAATTTCAGTTGCTATCTTTGTCAAATAATTTACCATTTAATATTGTATTCTTCGATCATCCACTTTGTTTGCCTTTGATGTGCTTTATTTATTTATTTATTTATTTGTGTTTGCAACCAGTCAAGGATGATCATTATCACCAAAAATATAAATTTTAATGTTTACCCCCCCCCCCCCCCCCCCCCTCCAATGAAATTCTTGGGTTTCGAGTTAAAAGTACATTACATCACCCGACATGTACACTTCTTCATAGACTGACTTACAGGCCTTGTGATCTTTTCCTGTTCTTACTTTCATTTCAGCTGCAAGATTTAAAGATGATGATTAGTATATAACATATCAAAGAATGCTAAAATATACAGTTTTTTTTAATAGCTACGAGTTTCAATATTAAAAGATAAAAATATGATGACTGTGTAAACCAGTAGCCCGACAATTTCTTGTCAGAGGCTAGGCTAGTCAATATTGCGCAATAAAAAATCACGTGAAATTTGAGACATGTACGGTACGTACCGGTACGATAAGAATATTTGGTGGCGGTGAAACCGACGTGATTGTTCTTGTAAGTTGTAGGCTGCTAAGATACCGGTACTTATTACAATACCAGTTTGAAAATCGTATATTCTATTGCAGATATATGTATACTTGAATTTGCCATCAATATTAAACGGTTAGATTGCATTATTTTGGCAATTCCTTCAGAAACAACATCTACAGTCGTAGAATCAAAACGTTACCGTATAGGCCTAGGCCTACTCTCTTGTCGCCCGAGCTAGCCGTTTGACGTTCTGTTGGTCGTGGTGGTAGATTGGAAGATAGCTCGCGCTCGCGCTCGTGCTTAATAACTTATACCATTACATGTATTCTGTGAGTGTTATAGATATACTGTAGTCAGGGCAGTAGACATGAAACGATTAGTAAGAAATTCTGTCCTAGTTTGATAAATATTTGTATTGTTTTTTATTTTGTAGGTTAATTATTCTCATTCCATAACCAAACTGAAACTGAACTGAGCTGAGCTGAGAGTGAGAGAGGCAAATAGATCGTCTGTGTTTGACTTTGACTAGATTGAGTATTGCGTGATTGACTTTTATATCAGTTAAAAAATTATGTCATGAATCCTCAAAGTCAAATGTGAGTGCCAATGTACCTGTGATACGAACTGTGATACATTGTTTTCTTCACAATTAATACAAGATTCAACTACTTTATTCATTACAAAGTTAAGAATTGAAAATCGATGGGAAAATCTGTAGACTGTAATGTTGCAGAAATTAATGATCATGTCAAAATTGTCAGGTATGGGGCCTGGAAGAGTGGGGGATTGACAGTGACACATCGTACATCCCACCCTGCCAACAAGGAAAATATCTGATTGGTGATGATTAGCAGTGTTTTTGTATTTGATAAAAATGACTTTTGACGGCTGATATTGATCAGTCTAGACCTAATCATAGTTTCTCTCATTCTAGGCGGTTGCTGAACCAAAGTGATGGTACTTGGCAGTGGTGGAGCATCGCCCATTGAAGACAACCAGCTTCAAGATTGTGCTGGAGTAATGGATGGGGGAGGGGATACCTGTGAAGCCGTCATGAAGGAACCTCAGAATGGTCCTTCTGAGAACCATGCACCTGCCGCCAAAGAAGGCGAACCTGGCTTTGAGATGACCGCTGGTGCAGTCAATATACCACATTCTGGAGCAGTAAGTTTTTTTCTTCTTTTCTTTTTTTTTTTTTAGTCTTTTCTTTTTTTACAATTTATTCTACCAGCTAATAAAATTTAAACCTGACGCTGGGTTAAAAGGGCAATCCAACCCTTGCAAGCAGAAAAGTAATAGAAATAAAATGGCAAAAATGGCAAAAATTTGAAATGAATCAAACCATTGATAGCTATGCGAATCTCAAGTTGGCAATTTTTCAGTGGATTTGACATAGTGAAGAATAACTCTCCTGATTGTCATGTACCAAAAAAAATCACTTATTTCTGTGTTTCTCTGAGGGGCTTTTGCGGTCCGTTGAGGCACTACTCAAAATAAATTGTGTAGAGTATATTATTACAGGACCTCTAAAAGGAAAAGAGCATCCCAAGTCATATATTTTTGAAAAATTTAAATTTTAGTAATTCGTTGTTCGCCACTACATCACAAAGACATTACTGATTCAGTCAATTTGACGAGCCCATGTGTATATTGATTGCAATTTTCCAAAATTCATGACTTTCTCATTTCTCATTTTTTGATTCAATTTTATTTAAACTTTCACCAAAATAAGTTTGCTATCAAGGTTGGATTCCCCTTTAAAGTTTTTGTCCAAAATCAGGTTTAACATGAATGAATTGCAACTTAGGTCTGAGGTTTTCCCTTTATTAAACATGATCTGAGAGTCAAGGTCAGGTTTAACTGAACTAGAAGACAGACCAAAATTGGTCTTGAATGGGTTAATGCATTTAATGTTCTGTCTCCTTGTAGATAAAAGAGTGACACAGTGATAGGAGTGCTAAGATTTGCAAATGAGCTTTAAAAACTGTGGTAGTCATCGTCTGCCTGTGTATACCAGTTCAGGGAATAATCTCATTATACACTGAAACCTGTCTACAAAGACCACCCGAGGTAGGCAAGAAAAGTGGTCTTTATAGGCAGGTGGTCTATATGTACAGGTTCCTTTAGTACATGTTTCATTGAGAAACCATTTTCAAGGGAGACAAAAAACAGGTTGTCTTTGTAGACAGGTGGTCACTAAATTATACATGATCTAAAAGTATGACATGAGGGGAAGCAATTAATTTGTTAACTCATAGATAATGTCATGAGGTATTAATTGTTTTTCTTTCTGCTCTTAATGCTTCCTAGACCAGCTTCAGTTTGAGGAAGTTGTGGGCTTTCACTGGTCCTGGTTTCCTGATGAGCATAGCCTACCTTGATCCAGGCAACATAGAATCGGATCTTCAGTCAGGCGCTATCGCTGAATATAGGGTAATTCATACATGACGATGTCATGTGATATTACTGAAAATATCATTCAAACTATGTACATTGGTGATAAAATGAAGCAATTATTTGATTTAGTTTAAATGAAGTTAGAATTGTGAAAACTGATTTTCAGCATTTTTGTTTGTTTTATAGTTTGTTTGTTGTTGTGTTTTTTTTTTTTTTTTGGGGGGGGGGAGATTAAGACAATCAAGTCAGCCAGTAAATCTGTATATGGGACATCAGAAAGCTCAACCATTGATAAAAGTTCTGTCAGGATTGTAAGTAGTTGTAATAACTTTGTACAAGATTGATACCATGGCTATTTTACAAGTTGCTATGCAATGATGTGAATGACTAGAATATACAAACCCTTTTATTTCTTATGAAATTCATAATTTTCACTGAATACGGAAAAAAATACAATTTAATACAATTTACATTTACTTTTATGTCTCATTTCTTCGTTGAATTGATATCACAAGTTACTGATTTATTTCCTTTAGTGGTAAATGTAAACGTTTACCACAAAATACATGTACATGCCCCATGAACCTTTCTTGATTGTTCAACGTTTAGGAGATTTTAGTTCAGTGAGGAAGCAATCAATGTGTGACTGTAAATAGGTATAAATCAACACCATTAAAGGTACGGTAATACAAAGTTTAGGTACGTGGTCATGAATTTGGTTCAAATGAACATATTGGAAGCATATGCGATTTTATCTTATTCAATGATCGTTGACGCGGTTGAATTCAAGCCTAAAGTGATAAAATAGTCAATGATAAACTCTTTATGTTGTAAAGCGCCCTCTCAAGACTGATATTCCTTTAGCTTTCAAATAATGTTTCTTGACTACAATCGACCAATTTGCTATTTTCGTCTGAAAATTATATATCAAAACTGTATATTCTGAGATTTTCATGGTTGCAGCTACCATGGAATGGCCTTAGGTGCTATTTGAAAAATTTGAAATTTACCAGGAGCACAGTAAAGTTTGGTTACCGTATTCATTTTCTCGAAAGCAGAAATGTTTTAGGGGCCAAATTTTCTAGTGCTTATAATACATTCACAGGGGCATCGAAATATATCAAAATTGTAAATTTACTATCGATCCAATTTTCCCAAGATTTTGTATTACCTTTAAGCGCTGCCATCTCTCTCGGAATAAAGGTCAAGTGAATCATTTTGTTTTCTTTTCGTCTGCAGCACTCTATAAAGTAGCTCAGTAAATGTTCCTTTTCAAGCCATAAAAAATTGTAGACTATTTATTAGCCTTTTTTAATGTATGTTAGCACAGCAGGTATCGTCAATGCAGCACTCTATAAAGTAGCTCAGTAAAAGTCCTATTTCAAGCCATAAAAAATTGTAGACTATTTATTAGCCAGTTTTAATGTATGTTAGCACAGCAGTTATCGTCAATGCCTATTTGACAAGTAAGTTAATTGAATTATTGAAAATACAACACTTAACCCCTTTAGACCATAAAATGTCAAAGAGTAATCTGGTTGCAGACTAAAATAATATTTACTGGCTGCAGACAACCTGGGAATGTTTTTTTTCCTAAAGCAGTCTTTTTCTAATCACATGATTATCATAGCTGTACTGTAATGCATTTCTTTTGTTGAACTAAAATGACTTCCTTTGATTTTGGACTCAAAATATCAGTTAATGCTCTATTAAACCACGTGCACTTTTTTTACATCTTGCATCCTAAAGGAAGTGCTACATTTCAAAACCTCAAATGAAAATGAAAGCCTTTTGTCGCTTGCCATTGTAGGTATGACTATGGTGCAGAGATTATGAATAAAATGAAAAGAACAATTGTAAGAAAAGATCGAATACTCGCAGCCTTTTCCCTCATACACTCGTGCTCATTTTTAAATTTAAAATTGTAAGGGTAGCATTTTGGGTTTAGGTCCTATGTGGTTTGGTGCCCTTAACCAAGATTAAATGTGTACAAATGTAGCTGTAGGATGTTTTGATAGCCTAGAAAACCTTATGAGAACAGAATGTAGTTGAAAATGAGAGAAGTGGCAGCGCTAACTTTACAGACTACCGGTAATCATGTAATCAATTTGTATTGCTCGTGTGCATGTATAATCAGACCTTAGCAATTTGGGTCAGGTAATTAAAGTGACTCAGTAACATTGGTGAAAGTTGATGAAAACATTGCATAATTTTTGTATGAAATATTACTTATTGTATTCCTTCTACTGAACTAACCCTCTAACATGCAAAAAATCCTGACAAAAATTCTCAAACCGCAAAGATAACTATGATTTTCTGTGAAGATGTCACTGTGCAACACCCTCTAACAGTGATTAACAGTAAATTCTCCCAACCATTTTTGAATTTTTCCAACCGTTTTTCCATGAACAAAAGACATAAGACAGGCTTTTAAAAATCTATCAACACTTAAATGTCTGGAATGGTATATAGATCCAATTCATTGCTTTGTGACGATTAACATTGTAATAATTATATTTGGGAGAATTATGGAATTGATTAGATCAGTTTTTCCTAATTTATATCATTAATAATAGTCCGTTTTCACTCAAACTTTCAGATTATCTTTAATTGTACATCAAGCATTGAATTCACTACCTTAGCACCACTTTCTCTCATCTGAACAATGTTATCAAGTCCCTTTAATACCAGAATATTTTATATATTTGACTTTAATTTGACTTTAAAAATCCAATATAATAGATTGCCAATGCCTTGCACCATTCTTGGGCGTTGTGCACAAGTTGAGGGATTTACATAAGCTATACGTATATGATGAGAACTTGTACAGAGTGTTTCCACCATTACAAGATCTATTTCTTCCTTTCTGATAACAGCTGCTATGGGTTCTTATGTGGTGTACAGTGATGGGTTTAGTGTTACAGCTACTAGCTGCCAGATTGGGTTCTGTTACAGGTAAGTTATAACATTGCTTTCTTGTTTAGTCTGTCAACACCTATTGCCATTGATAATACTCCATTAAAGTAAATTTAGTAAATTTCATGAACATGTGCATGATTCATGTTGTAATGGGTTACTGTATGATGGCTTAATTTGATACCGGGTACCACTTGGACAAAATGAGATGGTGTGTGAGGAATTATGTAATTAATGTAGTTTGTGATTTAATAGTGGTCTGGAATTTTATTATTTTTTCAGTATGCTGTGCATTACCATGCTTTGTATTACACAATAATTCCTCAATTTTTTTCATTTTGTTATTTTGCCTCGACTTGTAGGTTTAAAATGCCATTACTGATTGGACGTCATGAAGTGTGGCAAAGTTATGTTAGTTATACCAATAATTGTTTAATCAGTTAAATAATTGCTTAGAACAGATCCTCATCATCCTCACATGATACATTGTAATCTATATTACCGTATGGCTTGAACTACCATTTGGTTTGTCATGGTCTACAGGTTATCATCTAGCCCAGGTGTGCTACCGGGAGTATCCACCTGTTCCTCGAATAGCTCTCTGGATCATGATTGAGATTGCAATCATTGGATCAGACATTCAAGAGGTGGTTGGATCGGCTGTGGCAATCAACCTTCTGTCCAATAATAAGTAAGTTCTCTTCATATTAAATTTGATTGCAATCATTGGATCAGACATTCAAGAGGTGGTTGGATCAGTGGTGGCAATCAATCTTCTGTCCAATAATAAGTAAGTCTTTCACATTGTATTTGATTGCAATCATTGGATAAGATATAATGACTGAGTTTGCAATCATTGGATCAGACATTCAAGAGGTGGTTGGATTGGCTGTGGCAATCAATTTTCTGTCCAATAATAAGTAAGTTTTCTTCATACTAAATTTGATTGCAATCATTCGATCAGATATTCCAGTAGTGGTGGCAATCAATCTTCCGTCCAATAATAAGTAACTCTTTCACATTACATATGATTGCAATCATTGGATAAGATATAATGACTGAGTTTGCAATCATTGGATCAGACATTCAAGAGGTGGTTGGATTGGCTGTGGCAATCAATCTTCTGTCCAATAATAATTAAGTCTTTCACATTACATTTGATTGCAATCAATGGATAAGATAACCTGACTGAGATTGCCATCATTGGATCAGATGTTTAAGGTCGAATCAGCTAGAGCAATCAATCTTCTCTCCAGTAAAAAATAAGTTCTCACACTGCATTTTATTGAAATTATAGGATTGGAAAACATAATTGAGAATACAACTTGACTGCCAACATCTCAGAAGAGTGTTAATACTACTTGCTTTTTGCTTTTTGCTTTGGATTTGAGTTTAATTACAACTGTTAATGATGGAGATCATATCAACGAACAGATTGAAACAATGGAAGGCCCTTCCCGAAACTACAAGAAAATGATGTGCTTAACTTTAGAATACCTCACCAAACTATCCAAGAGTGCATTTGAAATATGGCCTGAACATTACATACGGATAATTCTAATATATTGGCGGTAGCAAGAATTTTGGTATTCTTATCTTTTTAGGATATGGTAGACAATTACAGTAAATATCCGGCGATTTTGATGGTAAAGGATGATGATCATCTTTCTTTGTTTCTTTGCAGGATTCCAATTTATGCTGGCTGCCTTATCACCGGAGTAGACACATTCACATTCCTCTTCTTAGAGAGTGCAGGTAAGCATAGTTTCCTGTTGCTTTCTTTTGTATTAATTCATGTTTTACAAAGAGAAGTCATTATTTGGTTGGGAGTTTTAATTCTGAGTTAGAGGGGGAAAATAAGCAACGTACTATCAAGAAAGAATTCTTTTTGAAGATCTTAGTACATATTTCAGATGACATTTATTTGTATGGTTATAACATCAGAATAATATTTTTAATGGAAATGATTTCTTATGATTCAAATTTAAAATGAGTAGAAAAAAAAAAGTTATATGTTTTGGAGATAATGCCTATTTGCACATATTGTTCAAGTATTTTGATGTCTGGTTTTGAATGATGTTTCAGGTCTACGTAAATTGGAAGCGTTATTTGGAGCTCTCATCACGACTATGGGAGGAGCTTTTCTATACATGGTAAGAAAGACTCTAATGTTTATTTTGACCTCTTAAATTTCTGTCTGGCTTTCTGTATTTTAGCTATGGTTCAAAAGGGCAAACTGCAATGCATGTTCATTTCTCAAGAAGTCTTGACGAGTTTTCATACTCAAAGCCCAAGGGCTGGGAGGAAGCTTCAAACTTTTACACACAAATTTGTACTTTTCATTAAGTATTCTAATTTTTGCTAAATTCATTGAAAACGTGTTGGAAAAAAGGTTTCAATATCATCCCAGAATGCTTAACTCTTGGTGTATATATATATTCACACAAAAGGCATTTGCATAATTTAATTATTTACTCTTTTGAATGAACGTTGAAGAAGGCTTGGTTAGGGCTGTCACCATGTCTCATCAAACTAACTTCACTATGTTCCTGAACTGACCTTTACAAATTTTTCGTTTGTTTAACAGTACATCGTTGTAGCCCCTGACCAGGGCGAGATCTTGAAGGGTATGTGGTTTCCGTGGTGTGAGGGGTGCCAACTTCCAGCTATCCAACAAGCAGTAGGCATCGTAGGGGCTGTCATCATGCCTCACAACATCTATCTGCACTCTGCTCTCGTATTGGTGAGTCTTGACCGCTTCTCTTTAAACATTTCATGGTGCGAGAAAGAAAATTCCAAACTAACCATTCTTCTGAATGGGGGATGATAGATGTACAGATGCTCATGTTATTTGTCAGTCTTTGAATACCCAATAAGCATTCTTGTTGGGAAAAAACAGATTTATGATAGTTCAGAGTTTTTCAACAATCAGTTGTTGATCTATTCAAAATTCAACGTCATGTCTTAAGTTAAAATCACAACCTTAAAGTAAATTTCAGAACTATAAAATCGTTATAAGCATTATTAATATTCAGACATGATAACCCCTCATTCTTTGTGCAATGCACCCTTACTGTGGAGCTGTAAGTATTTTGATTGATTTTGCATTGATTTGTTTTTATAAAGTCACTCATACTACTGCGTAAATTGATTTTGGTATCCTGTGTCTGTCCTGATTCAAGTTCTTTTATTTTTTCTCTCAGAGTAGTTTTTGTCTCGCCTGCGTAGCAAAAAGCGAGACATAGGCGCCGCTTTTCCCGTGACGGCGACGGCGGCGGCGGCGTCAACATCAAAAACTTAACCTAAGGTTAAGTTTTTGAATTTTTGATATAATTTTGAAAGTATAAGTTCTTAGTCAATGAAACTTTCACTATAGGGTAATCAAGTATCCCCAATCATGTGAGTGGAATTTCAGATCACAAAGTCAAGGTCAAAGGTCATTTCAGGTCAACAGACTTGGACTATGTTGTAGCATCATCATCGAAAACTTAACCTAAGGTTAAGTTTTTGAATTTTTGATATAATTTTGAAAGAATAAGTTCTTAGTCAATGAAACTTGGACTATAGGGTTATCAAGTCTCCCTAATCATGTGAGTAGAATTTCAGGTCACTAAGTTAAGGTCAAAGGTCATTTATGGTCAACAAACTTAGACTTTGATGTGGCATCAACATCAAGATTTTCAAAATGCTTCTTCTTTGTTATTTTTCAACCGATTTTGATTCTGATTGTTTCATATGATAGGGCTAGGAGGGGGATTTGAAATTTCTACACAGAATCGTGAAATTCATTATCTATGCGTATTTATGCAAATTTATTCGAAATCACAAAAAAGGCTTCTTCTCCTTTAATTTCTCGATCAATTTTGATTTGGTTTGCTTTATATCGTAGAGTTAACTTTGGTACACTAAACTTCTACACAGAATTTTGAAATTGTTCTCCATTAATTAATTATGGTAATTTATGCAAATTTATTCCAAAAATAACAAAAATTGCTTATTTTCCCTCATTTCTTGACCGATTTTGATTTGGTTTGCCTTATCTGGTAGAGCTAAATTTGGAACACTAAACTTCTACACAGAATTGTGAGATTTTGCTCCATTGATTATTTATGGTACTTTATGCAAATGAAATGAAATTATGTCCCTTCCACGGCATCAAATTTTTATTTTTTGACCAATTCAAAAGTGTACCACATAAAATGCCTGGTTATTAAGATTAATCTCTCTCTCTCTCTGTTCTTTGTATTCAGACTCGCAAGGTAGATCACAAAGATAAAGTCGAGGTTCGAGAAAGCAATAAGTACTATTCCATTGAATCAGGTAAGATATTTTGGGTTGCGTAAAATCACTTAAAAGTCTTACTAGAAACACATCAAATATATTCAATAACAGAGAGATAAATACCATTAGTTGTATATTTCTATAAAAAGAGGCAGACTTATGAGGCATATGTACTAAAATTAATACACTTTCTTCATGTGGAAACTAAAAAGAATGTACAGGTTTAGGGGAATACGGTCTCAAACATATTTGTGGATGACCAGACTTGAAAACATTTCTTATCCATGACTTTTTAGGAAGTGTGATGAAAAGTCACAATTTCGAAACTATCATCATCAAGTACCGTATTTGCCAGCGTAAAGGCCGCAGTATTTTTGGAAGAGAAAATATCAAAAAGTCGGGGTGCGGCGTATACGCCGAAACAGTAAAAATCGCAAGTCAAAACAGCACGTCCATTATCTGTAGGCAACTTCATACAAAAAAATATATTAACAAAATTGACTTGAAAACACATCGGACAAGACCTAGTCTGAACCACGTCAGCAGCAAATTTGAAGAAGTTATCTTTTTAATCGTTGTGCAACCAAAGAAATAAGAAGAAAACTGACCAGAAACTCGTACTAAAAATCGTACTTGTAAAAATGTCCTTGGCTTAGACAGCGCATGGCCCGGTAACCAAAATCATACCTCGCTCACACACTCTGTGGTGGGGAGCTACCGGGCTGGGAGTTGCAACAAATCCAACGCAGCTTCGGAGATAATTCACAGCGCAATCGTCGGTGTTCTTAACTTTTAAGTAAGATAATTCTGAATTATAATTGAGACTATCTAATTAATTAAAGCGACAAACTAACCTCGGTAGATCTCTAATAACAATACAAAAGCTTGTTTATTTTCTCCATTTGGCGGTACGATAGGGGTAAGACCGGATAACATTATGGCCACAGCTTGGTTATGGCAGGCCATTCACAGTCAGACCGCAGCGCGCGCGTTAATGAGGCTGAAAGCTGATTTTTATTCAGCGATATCTGGCGATCACATAACATTTACGTCTGCTGAATTTCCATGCGCTTTTCAGTGAGATTTGTAGGGGTGTACATGTAGCTGCGTTTTGGGTTGTTAACTTCATTCAACATGGCAGCATGCAACGGAAAGTCACTCTCGAGATTTTCAGCATCAGTTTGATATGTAATTTGCCATATTTCGCAATTTGTAAACAATAATTTTTCACAACTTTTATTGACGTTATTTTTGTAACATTTCAACTGCTGTTTTGACCCGGGAATTTCACTTTTGGTTCCTGACTTTGGGACAAAATAAATTTGTCCACTTTGAGATTCGTTCGAAAGATGAAAAGTCACTCATCAAAAATATGTCAAAACCTAATTGACGCAAAATCATGTTCTTTTTATAATCGTAGTAATTAAGACCCTAAAAACCCGGAAATTACCAATTTGTTCTTTTTATGATAGCGCGAAATTGTGTGATTTCATACTCGTGCACGCTCGCCGTCTGAGCAATGGCAATGCATAACTGATTATTAAACTCCAGGGAGCTCCGCCGCGCCATCGACTAGCCGAAAAAAAATTAGAAAAATGATTAAAAAAGAAATATAGTAGAAAAGAATCATATATATAGCAGGTGAGGTATTTGATCTCTGGTCCTTAGATTGTTGTCAAAACGGCTTGCGCGCACGTGCATTACAGGCGCACGCCACAACGCATGGTTACCAAAATGTGGTATTCAGAATGTTAATAAACCAAAGCGAAACATATGTGACGTAGTTGACGTAGTTGACCAATCAGAACTCTCTATTATCACATCGGCAAAATTTACTACTATTTTTAATTATTCATGAACATGAGCGTGATCTTTTTTGGTTCCTGACTTTGGGACAGCGTAAAATATAATAATTTTAATATCATTGTAAATAATAATTGTAAATTTATAATGCGCAGTTTCTATATGTATATACTCAACTGCGCATGACATATTGGATATTATTATTACCCCGGCTTTAGCTGTGCTGCCATTATAGCGCTCTAGCATTTCAAGGAATAAATTCCTACCGGGTACCCATTTACTTCACCTGGGTGGAGTGTGGCAAATGTAGATCAATATCTTGCCAAAGGACATTAGTGCGGCGGCGGGACTCGAACCGCGGACCTTGTGATCGACAGTCCGGCGACGTATCCACTCGACCACAACACCTCTACATACGTAATGAGTAGTGCAGACGGTCTTCCCGTATATAGAAAAATATATATGCTTTATGCTTTATGCTGATTATAACATCTTCTTATAACATCTTCTTGACGCAAGAATGATTTCTATGTGAAAATCAGTCCTACTCTTTAGATAGATTTATCGTCGAAAAACCCCATTTTCAAGGCGAAATATCTGTTTCCAAAATATATCTAACATGATTGTCATATAAGTATATAGAGAGTGCAACTTCTTATCTTTAAAATAAGACCCATTTCATGAGAAATGAACAATTATAAAGGCAAAAATTGCCGATCGGGAAGACCGTCTGCACTACTCATTACGTATGCAAGACACGTAAATTCTTGCATACGTGCTGAATAAAATAGAGGGTTTTCGCACCGGCTGCGGTCTGACTGTTCATGTTTCTGTATGCATGCGAAGCGCCCTCTAGTGTCCAATGAATGTGCTAATCTGCCTAAAAATCGATGAAGATTTGCTAAATTATGATCATTTTTTAGGTAAACTTCCTGTAAATTTATAAAATGATTGATAATTTTGGTATTAGTTTGTAGGAAAAATAGAGTTCTACGAGAAAATTATGATTATTTTCTTTGGTCCGTTTTTTTTTTTTCCTTTTTTCCTTTTTTTTTTTTCTCTCTACGAAATGTCAAAGTTGGGGGTGCGGCCTATGCGGCGGTGCGGCCTTTACGCCGGCAAATACGGTATTTGGGTTTTTTCTTTCCAATTCTAAGTATCTGGTATGAAACTTTTAATCTGTTTATCTTGCCATCTTGTTTTGTCTACAGCTATTGCGTTGTTTATATCATTTCTTATCAACCTGTTTGTTGTGGCTGTGTTTGCTGCTGCCTTCTATCCATCTGAGAATGCAACGCTCCTCACTGCGGTAAGTCATTTTCATGATCAGATAATTCAGTCACCTTTATTCTAAATATTCAGCTGTAAAGGAAAATTAATTGTCTTGATTTTTGGGGTGCCTTTTGAAAAGAGGAGTTGACAAAACTTTTGTAAGAGCTTTGATGTGGGATCCAAAGTCTTTAACCTTGACCAACATAGTAGTTTAGCTTTAAAGGTAGTTCATAATTCTAGCAAGTCTGAAAGTAAGGAACTGTTTATGCATTGTGTGAAAGAAAAAAATTAAATTTCTTACAAAAAGGGATTCATCAGAATGAATTTTGGAATGACCGGTAGCCTGAACAATGAAATTCATCATGAAATGTACTCCAATTCCTTTCAAGAGTGAAACGAAAAGAAAATCTAAACTTTGAGATGTACTGGTACTTTTGTTATCATTTTTTTTAAACAGTTGATTGTAAATGTTTACATAATTGGGGAACTAAAATGTTTGACGCAACCTCTGTGATATAATTCCACCAAATTTTTTAGGTAACCTTTGATATTGCTTTCAGTGTAGATTGTTTCTTCCTATGTATGTTTCATCTCTTCTCTATAATGTGATCTAAAGTAAGCCCCGTCTTGATAAATTCTCTTTCACTTCTTTTAGGGTCAATTGATTCATGACAATTATGGTAATGCCATGAAGATCATCTGGGGCATAGGACTACTTGCTGCAGGACAAAGCTCAACTATGACGGTATGTTCTCCTTACTATACTTTCTATGATCAGTGCCTTTGGAAAGGAAACAGTTTGGAGTATGAACGATCATGATTTGAGCTGATGATGTCAGGCGAAAATGAGAGCTTTAGAAAACCTGAAACTAGTCACATTTGATTGCTTGGCGCAAAGAAATCATAGTCTTGCTAAACATCTTTCCATGGGGTTCAGCGTATTAGGGTGGAAGTAGTAGTGTTTTAATAAATTGTACCTGATCAAATGTATACTAGCTATGACATTAAAGCTATACAAGAATTTTTTTTCTCAAGTACTTACTGATTTAATAGGAGTAGTTTCAGGATTTTTCGTACTGACTTATATGCATTGATATCTTCGAATGTTTTGGGTTCTTTCTTCTTCAAAATATGAAAGTCACCGATAATAAAAACTGAAAATGTATTAATGAGTCAAAATCGGACTTTGATTGTTATGGTACTAGATTTGTTGTTTTGAAATTCAAGTAAGAATGAAAGTGAAAAAGGGATAGGATTTGGATGTGGATAGTATCAGCAAGATCTATTTTGTATTATCCACATGTTTTTTGTTTTGATTTTAGTTTCTTGAGTCTGTCGGTCTGAATCATTTCCCATAAAAACAGGAAGTAATTCACTTTTATGACCTATTTGAGAATTAATGTTTTCAACATTTGACATAGGAAATCCTGTTGGAAATTGGACGTTTCTTTTTGTTGAGTTGATATTGATTTTGTTCTTCTTTCTTTTTAATTGCAGGGCACTTATGCTGGCCAGTTTGCTATGGAGGTAGGTTAAACCATAGGGGTTTTCCCTGAGCTTAACCCTTTCAGGACAGGATTTATATTTAGGCCGGCTAAAATTTTCACATATTGTTCTTCATGTATATATTTTTATGCCTCCGTTACGAAGTAGCCGGAGGCATTATGTTTTCGGGTTGTCCGTCCGTCCGTACGTCCCATCCGTACGTCCCGTTCTCGTGATCGCGTTATCTCAAGAACTGATTGATGGATTCCTACCAAACTTTGGTCATTTATGTAACTTGCAGAGCCAATGAACTGATTAGATTTTGGGGTCATTGGGTCAAAGGTCAAAGGTCACAGGGCTCATTATGTATGCAAAATAGCTTGTGATCGCATTATCTCAAGAACTGATTGATGGATTCCTACCAAACTTTGGTCATGTATGTATCTTGCAGAGCCAATGAACTGAGTAGATTTTGGGGTCATGAGGTCAAACATGTATATGAGAAATAGCTTGTAATCACGATATTCTGAGAACCTGTTAATGGATTACAGTCGAACTTGAATTTGAAAAATTTCTTCTGTTTTGGTTTGTAAAATTGCTCTATGATGGAGGCATCATTTTCGACTGCACGCAGTCGAAGTTCCATCTAGTTTATTGCTGCATTTTTCAAATTATATGTAATTTTCACATGGGCAAGAATGTTGACCAAAAGTTTTGAAAAATTGCAATTTTGATAGAAAATAATGATTTTGATTCTCTCAACATGGTGCCAATTTAAGGATTGTTGAGCTTATTTTCCTTTTTTTCCTAGCCTAGTATAGTCATGAAACAAATATCAATGCTTTTTTGAATCAAAAGTTATTGAGCCACACCACAAAATATGGAACGATTCTCACAAAAGGGTTTGTTATGAAGCTATAACTCCCCATGGTCCTTGACCTTGATGTGAAGAAGATATATTTAACTGGTGGTAGTTTAGGATGTTTTTCAATTCCATGGCATAAGACAAATGAACTATGACTATTTATTTGGTATAGTGAAGCATAAATTTTCCCGTTGCATTACATTATATTTCTGAAGAACTCTGTCATACAGGTATGTGCTTCTTCACTGACTATTTTGTTTGCATTACTCTGGTTTTCTGTCATTTGCTTTTCCAAAATAAGTTCCATCAGGGTAAAATGACTTTTATTTCCAACTACCTAGCTCAAATGGAATCTATTGACCGATATTGTTTTTCACAGGGTTTCTTAGGCATCCGATGGAGCAAGTGGAAAAGAGTCTTGCTAACCAGATCTATCGCCATGGTACCCACCCTCCTAGTGGCTGTTTTTGCTGGAAAAGCCCTGGATGAACTCAATTCCATCATCAACATCATCCAGAGTATACAACTTCCATTCGCTCTCCTACCTATCCTCTACTTCACAAGCCAAGAGAGACTGATGGGAGAGTTTAAAAACTCTAGGTTGGTTTCCTCCTCTTGGATAGTTTCAATGTCAAATGCTAAAGCCGGGGTGATAATACGATTGCAGGGCCATCAGGGAGAACAGTATTAATACTGATGAGGCTACCCTGGGTAAATAAGACATATAATTATTATTATTATTATTATTATCATGATTATTATCACTTTCTCCGTGATCACAACAAAACTTCAGACCAGCTACTCCTTATCTCCTCTGTTGAAGTGCCTTTCATAAATCATCAAGTATGAGTGGACAGTGTAAATCAAGCCCACAAGTGGGTTGGGCTTTATATTTTTGATCCAAGTTTGATTCACTTTTGAAAGTAATGGCAGTGTTATTAGATATGAAAATATAAACATAGTCTTCCTAATTATGGTTCTTAATATTTGGAATAAATAGTGAAATTGAAGTTTTGAGTTCTTCTAATGTTGGAATACAGTCAGAAAGTATAGTGTGCAGTGGGATCAAATGGCTTGGTTGGTTGACCTGTATTGGTTTAGAAGAAATGTTTGTGACTTTGTAAATTTTATAATAAACTATCCAAGTTTAAAATTTCTTATATATTACTCAAATATAATTATATATGTTATGTTCTTTGTCATGCAGTTTCACCAAATTCATAGTGTGGTGCCTTGCAGTACTCATAATGGGGGTCAACTTCTACTTGGTGTTTGCAGTAAGTTTTTCATGTTTAATTTAAGTTTGTTTATATGTATGGACTTCAAGGTTATTCATTATATTATCATTATGCCTCATGGAGTATCACATGTTCTTTCTTTGATGCATATAAAGATAGTTGAAGCCAAGATACATATATCATAACAATTGGGAAAAAGTTAATATTTGGTATAATTGATTTTAAATATATTTGTTCATATTTCAAAATTTATCAAAGTATTGAGGAAAAACTAAGGGCCGCAAAACAGTATTTTTTTATTTCTTGATGTATGATAGCAACGGGAATGTTATATTGACTAGAATGGACCATATGTCACCATTATTAAAGGTAAAGACCAGTTATGGTCATGCAATTGCATTGTGAAAGAAACGTTGTGGAATCGATCAGAAAAAGTTGATCATCTAGCATATAAGTATTGGTGTGTACTGCAAGGTTCTGGAATCATCAAAATGATAAGAAATATGGCCCAGTCTTCCTAAAGTTACAAGCACTGTACACAGAAAGATGTATATGGGACTATACGCACACGTGCGCAACACGTGCGTTTATCTCTCACAGACCATGTAGATAAACTGATTACCAAATATATCAATTAGTAGGCGGTTTCCCGGCAAAATTGTTATCATCATGTATTAGTCAAAACATATTCTTTCACATGATTGGTAATAAGAGCTTCCATTTCATTTTTTGAAATTGGGGCGTTTCCAATACTGGTCTTTACTTTTATTATGGATTGTTGATTTAACTTGATAGGAAGCATGTCATTTCCTCTCGTTTCCTCTTTAAATCGTATATATTTCCTTGTTGAGAATCCTACCATGTGGATGTCATGTGTTTCATGTTCTGTCTACTTAAAGATGCATAGTAGTGGGCTCTCATGGGGAATTCAACACCATTTGGGTGATTATCCAATGACAGGTCTTGTCGATCACTGGGATTAGCCGTCACTAGTTTTATGACCAATAGGCCTTCTGTAATGCTCTGCATTTTCCACCAATTGCCCCATATAAAAAAAAGTCATTATCTTACATTTCTCTCACCCGAAGACTTTCTGAGAAACTAAGTTGGTATATATTTCTTGATGGGACTACAGGTTTGCTACGTGCGAAACTTGTACACCCATTAATGGTATTTCCACCAAGTCTGGTGTCAACGACTTAGGACCCACTGCTTATGGAAATGGAACTGACTACCTTCTCCCTTTAATATGTTTACCTTGCAGGAACTGAACGACAAACCATGGTGGGCGTATTTCCTCATGAGCATATTGGGTGTGATATATGTTATATTTGTGGGATATTTGGTGAGTAAGAGTATGGAAGGATAATGTTTTTTTTCTTCTTTAATCTTCTTCATTTTCTTTGATCTTTCCAGGAAGCTGTAATGAATGGAGATACCGTCTCGAAAGAATTTCCCGAGGGAAAAATATTCAAGATTAACCTGGCTTAACAAAAAGAAATGTAACCCTCTCCAGCCATCATTACCATCAACAGCTGTCCATATCAATGCACAGTCCATCTCTGGCATTCCAAATAGTACGAAATGTTACGCAACGCCATCTGCTTCCCTAAGTTCTCTATTCACTCTTTTGCAAAAATATGCAAGCATCGAGCTTTGAAGCCATGCGTGGCACCGAAAACTTAAGTCATGTTCAGTGAAGATGGATTTAGCTATAACATATAAAATACAGAATTCACAACATATGACCAATGCAACTTTCTATTAGTCATCAAATGCTTTTTCCGTTCTCGGATAGTTCTACTGAAGACATGGCCATTTCAACCAGCGAAATCGACCAAGGAAATCATGAGTTAGAGCGAATGACAGGTCTTCATCATCATGATTTTCTCATCTAATTATTGACATTTTCCGAAAATTTCCGAAATTTGTACATAGCTAGGACGGTAATTCAAAGGTTTATCTTCCTAAAGAACTAAATGAAATTGTGTTATATGTTTGCGCATTTATTGATTTAGGGCTAGAAGTTGTCAAGTTATCACCACTATTCACCCCAAGTACGGGCCGGCAAAGCAAAAGCCGCCCTGCTCGCTGGGCTGGGCTGTGTGTGGAAAGGCAGGACTTAGTGCTACTAGGGAGCTGTACGGTTTCGGAGGGAGATTAAGGGGATTACGGTAGGGGAAACAAAAGACGCGCGGTGCCACGGATGACTTCAAAGGGGCCTCTTGGACGGGATCTCCATCAATTACAGCTTCCTGATCTTTCTTTTTTAGCTCTTGCAGCTTCCTTATTCTTGTTATTTACTTTTGTTTTAATGTTTTCTTTCTTTATGCATTTGTCATGTTTCCTATTCCCTTTATATACTTTCTCTTTTTTATTATAATCCTTATGATTACTAAAAAGGAAGGTTATGTATGGGAGGTTTGGCATAGATAGAGTTGGCTGATAGGCTCAATTTTCTTTTAGTAAATATTGAAGAGATCATGGATAGAATTGAGAAATATTTTGAGCATCAATTTTTTTTCATATACATATTTCAGTCACATTGATTTTTAAAAATATATTCTGTATTTTACAGAAAAAAAGTAATTAGTGTATCAGTAATTGAAGTATGTTATTGATTTAGGGTTTTAGAGTAGGAAAAAGGATAGAAACATGTGAAAACTTGATTTTTGTACACACAAGGCATATAGTATGTCCACAACTATGATCTAATTTGTACATTTGCATGCTTTTATCTTTTTTAATTTTTTTTTACAGGCATTTGGAATTGAGCTATCACACAAGATAAAGGTTTGTATTTTTATCATTACTTCCAACTCTTTGGCCGAATTTTCCACTTTTTAATATGTAATAGTATAGCTAGTCTTGACCTCACATCCTTTCAAAGGAGTAATCTCCGAAAAGAATTGGGAGCATGTATTTTGATTTCTAAAAGTCAGTTGATTTCTATGAAGTATGGCCTATCAGTTGGATGGATAGAGGTTACCGGTATGTTATTTGCGGACTACTATTACACAATTAATGAAAATGAAAGCACATCCTAAACTGAGAACTATAAGTATTGCTCAGCGTATGAAATAGAGGTGCAGTTTCTTATTATATCTCTTTTTAGAATGAACAGCAACAACATACCCATCCATGAGCTGAAAGAAAGAGATAAATACCTAACTATGATTATGTAATGTAAATCGCATAAAGAACTATCTACATTCTATAATCAAGATGTAAATTTAGGCTTTGAAGGTTATATATGATAATTTTGGATATACCAACATATTGTATGAGTGTGTTTGTTTTCCTTGTAGTGCTGGACACTAAAGAAGATGGGGAGGATAGAATATACCAGATTGGAAGAGGACTTTGCTACAATGAGACCACGCTATCCCCAGTCCCCACCATTACCACAGGAAAAGACAGAAGACGGGGAAGGGATCCAGTGATGTAGATCCAGTCACTGGCCACGGGAAGAGAATTAAAGATGGGGGACTATTAAGAATTCAGTGACAAACTCTCTCTCTCTCTCTCTCTCTTGCCAACATATTCTAATTTTCTACTGCTTTGTCACACAAAAAATATATTCTCATGGCGCTGTATGAACTGTGAGTTCAACATTGAGAGTAACTTACCATGCTAACTGATCCAGGAAACTAAAATGAATAAAATGTGTTAAGATTTGAATCATGATGATGTAATGTGAGTATCATCAGAGAGTGAAAGAATTGTCCACATGCTTTAGACTTATCTAACCAAAAATTCATGTTTGATTGTGATTGAGTGTTTGATGCAACGACCCAGGTTTCTGTCATATCTTTTGTAATTAGCTTAGAATGAATTCAAATTGTATTATGTATGTATACTGTACTTCAAAAACACTCCAATATTTACTTTACAATTACTCATCCCTCAATTTGTTTTGATGGTAATTTGATGGTAAAACTCTGGTAATCGAAAGATTTTTGTCAGGGTTATATCACCAAGTACGTTGTTCCATCCAATATTTATTGATGGTAAAACTAAATCAAATCAAACAATCAATATTTTCTGTTCTCATATTTATTTAAAACCATTGCATAGAGAATCTTGTTCAAAATACATTTCTGCAAAATCTAAACAATTTGAATGGCTCAAATTGACATCATCAGGGACTTTTAGATTTGCGTGGACTGATACGTGTGACGTCCATTCAAGGCAGTGCATTAAAAGGACGTCGATCGTAGCAATCCCCATTGTCTTTGTGTGAATCTAAAAGTCCCTACTATGACTGTAGAATGAATGGGTCTTTGGAGGCTGTGCCCAGCCTGTGAATGTGTTTTATAAATGCGATGACATGGAGATTCATAGAGTATTTCATTTATATGATGGTGAAACATGCAGGTAATGTTTTCTTTTAATTTAGGATACCTTACCAAGAAGTCACTTAAAAGTAAATACAATGATATATCCACTTAATTATTCAAGTTGTACTTGAAAGTAAATGTATGTTTGAATAAAGATCTGAACAGTAACATTGTACTTAAGATAAAACCAGTAATTGTGTTTTAGTTTGGATTAGATTTAGTCTTATTATTTGTACAACTTGACCTCTCAACTTTTTTTCCTAAAAGAATGCATGTATATGGTATTTATATTTTGTTCTGAAGTGTTAGCAATTGCACAGAATACCTTTTTTTACATGTCATAAACATACTTCCATCTTAATATAATAATAATAATTTGATTTATAAAGCGCCTTTTCCAGAGGATAAAAGGCACTGTCCTTTCGTCAATCAACAAAGAGTTTTAGAGCTGGGCAAATCGCAGAAGTATATAAAGTGTACAATATTGATTTTTATTTGTTATAGGTCTATCCAGTTAGAGGTTGTGATGACAAGTTTAAAGGTGAAAACTATACTTGTGGTACCTGTTTTTACTTGTTATATTATGTACTATGCTATGCAATTGTCAGACCAAGGTTTACAATTTGTGCAATATTTTAAGGGTGCAGTTCAGACTGTACTCTGTCCAAAACCTAGCTTGTAGAGGAATTTCTTGACTGCACAAAAATATATGACACTTTGATACTTGAAAGTCTTCCATGTTACATTTATTCATCTAAATTTGAATGTTCTAAATCTCGTAAATGAGTATTATTGCTTATCTCATACTGTTGTTTAATTGATATTGCTGTAGAAGTATGAAATTGTTTGTTCTCTGTCTTTATACCTGTGTTATTAATTTATATGTGATATTATAACACTGTTAGTTACATTTCAGCATCAAATTGATCGTGTTTAATCCAGAATTTAAACCGGAAATGGTCGGAGGGAAGAATAAAAGAGGAAAAATGAAAGTCAAATTCAATACATGTATTTGATCAATATGGAAAATATATGTTCTTTTTATTGTAATGCACATTTAGTAGACCATATGTATTCTCAAAGTTTAGCACAAAACGCTGTAGGAGTTTCGCACAGAGATACTTGTAGAGTACCAGCTGATGTAGTGAGCAATAATTTTTTTTTTTTTTTTTTAACATGGATTATTTTTTTTTACTATACACCCCCCCCCCCCCCCTTGAGCAAAAAACAAAAAGTTAATTTCTGTTCACAATTTTTTTTTTTTTTTTTTTTTTTGGGGGGGGGGGGGGGGGGGGCAAGGCCCGCTCGCCCCCCCCCCCCCCCCCCCCCCTGGATCCGCGCCCGCGCTATGCATTCGGTGTCAGTTCGCTTCCTTCTCCCAAATGACCAGGCCTACATTGAAGTATAAACTTTGATCAATTTGATTGGAAACAAAATGCCTGTAGATTTGTTGATGTCAAAGCATATGTAGAAGATGTTTACAGGAAGTTCAAGAGTCTTAACTAAGCCATCCCCAATTTTATCTTGCAATATTATGTTGATATACTGATTAATCTAAATGATCTGCTTTTGGGGCGTAAGGCTTCTTTTTTTTCCTTCATTTATGATGCTAATTTTCTTATATAGTATTAGACCAATGATAGTGCCAAACCATTACATTATGCATCAATTTAAGATGTTGACATTAATAAAACCAATTTCTTCAAATCAGCTACTTTCATGTGTTATATAATCTGTTTGTTTTATAGTGTAGTTTATTACTTGTGAGATCGTCAAGTTAAAAAGTACGACCCCTGCCCCGGGGAGTTCCACAGACCTATTGATCAAGTCACATCTCCCTGGTCTGATATTCCAAAAAATGCACCGTTGTTTATAAGACGGGTCGGCAATACAGTCTTACAATATAGTCTATGTCTAGATAGCAGGGGGCGGCGATCCCGGGGGGACGGGGGGGGGGGGGGGGGGGGGATCGTCCCCCCCCTCAAAATTTGAAAAAGTGCAAAAAAAAATGTGTAGCAAATACTGACTAAAGACTGCAACACACTTATAGGCTCTGGAGGGCCCAAGAGTGCAGCGTTTAGACAAATAAAAACGCCCCTTGACCCCCGCTGGGGCTTTGCCCCTGGACCCCACGCCAATTTACGCTCCACCTGCTTCGCTCACTTTGCTCTACCTGATCGTAAATACTTTAGCCCCCCCCCCCCTCCCCACTTTGAAAAACGTTGCCAGGGCCTCACATGTAAGTGTGGTGGTGATGCGGATTTTTTCTGCTCCCCCCCCCCCCCAAAAAAAGTTTTTGCTTGTTATTACGCCACTGCTCCCTCGTCCCTCGCATTTCGTCTCCCCCCCCCCCCCCCCGGTCATGAAAAGAAATCGCCGCCCCTGCTTATTATAGATCTAGATCTAAGTTAATTAGCCAGGGCTGTCAACCCTCACGTATTTGAGGGGGTCTCATGCCACCACGCTGATTCTCCCGCCGTCCCACCAGCTCGTAGCGGGAGACTCCCGCTAATGCTCCTCCCGCTCTCCCGCAATCTCCCGGTTTATGAAAAAACCTCCCGCCAAACATGTAAAATGAACCAGCCTACTAGCTCGTATATCATATGGATTTTTTTTTGCTCAACGTGGGGGGGGGGGGGGTAATGAGCACTTCGATTTTGTTTTCTTTCTTACTCAACACCCCCCAGACACGTACGCGGGGGAGGGGGGTTACCCCCCCCCCCCTTCAATTTTTGTTTAAGTGTGTGTTTTGGAGGGGGACAAAAAGGGACCCCCCCCCCCTACTGAACGAAGTATCGGGTGGCATAATTTTCCAATTTCTGGGACACACACAAAAAAATGTGCTTTTACCCCCATCCCCATTGAATCTCACCCCCACCCCCCCCCCCCCCCTTCCAAAATACATATACACTTCCGCGCATGCGCTCATAAGACCATTGGCAGAAAATATACATCAAAATGGCAGCTCCCAGTGGAAGGAAGAAGGTCGATCTTCGGGAATTAATGAGGCAGAAAAAAGCTGCGAAGCAAACCAGTGTCAAGAGGATCGAATCACCATTAGCCAAATATCCTTTACAGACAGTAGTAAAGACAGAACATCATGAAATTTTGCCGTTATTCTATCTTATTGGAAATAATGTAGTCCCATATTATTAAAATTACGTTAGCACTTGACTTGTCTTTAAAGTCAGTGGAATTTATTGCTATTCCAGCTCCAGCAGTGGTTTTGTAACAGCCATTATGAGCCATAACATGAGCACAATATAATCCATTAAATCTCGGTAGCCCTGAAATGTTGCCACGATTCTGTGTTTAGTTTTTGTCAGAAATGTTAATTCTCATCGACGTGTTGCACTAGAGTAGATTTAGATCTACTGCCACTAGATTCCACACATAGCTGCATTACTATCCTGGCTATGTATTAAAGCTTTATATCTGCCGTAGTTTACAGGAGGGTTTACACTGCCCTGCAAGGTCACTGGACAGGTGGTTATCTCATCAACTCAGCTCTCAGTTAACATGAGAAAAAGAGGATTATGGGGGACCAATGGTCACCGATTAGGCATTGTTTGTTATATAGAGGGCGCAAGTAGCTACAAGTAGTGCAGTGGGCCTTTAAAAGCTGTGTTATTGATTCTCAACATTTTAAACACTGCTGTACAAAACTCAACTGATTTCACTCAAAATCAGTACTTTAGTGACAATTTATGACACCTAAATAGCAGTAAAATTTTAAAAAACTCAACTTACCGATGTAAGAAAGAATAATTTGAAAATTCAAATCTTGAGTTTACTGTCAAACTTGCCGATCAGCCACATCGTATTTATTGTGTGCATTTGTGTGTAATGTGTGTAACTGTGTATTGACTATTCATGTGTGCAATTGCTGCCCCATAGCAGGTAGTGCAGCACTAGAGGTCAATACACATTAGCATTGACTCTATGCTTTGCTGGAGTGCACTTGCACTAGTTGCAGAGTCGCATAAGGTCAAACATGAAGTTTTGTTGATTTTTAAATTAAAGTGTAAGAATTAATTATTCCTTAACTCTGTCACACATACAACAACCTAGGACAGTTGATCTGTGTGGTTTGTAACCAGCAGGTTAAGAATGAAATACTGTGGACAGCTCATCTTCAAGGAAAAAAACATAAAGATGTAAGATATATTTTTGTCACTTCTTCATTGCCTCATCCTACTCCTTCATCTTCCTCATTTGTATCTCTTGTTGTTGTTGTTGTTCTTGTTCTTCTTATTCTTCTTCTCTTCTTCTTCTTCTGCTTCTTCTGCTTCTTCTTCTTCTTCTTCTTCTTCTCCTTCTTCTTCTTGTTCTTGTTCTTCTTCTCCTCCTTCTCCTTCTCCTTCTCCTCTTTTTTCTTCCCCTTCTCCTCTTTTTTCTTCCGCTTCTCCTCTTTTTTCTTCCGCTTTTTTCTTTCATGATATTTTCTCTCCAATTAACCTGCTGATTATTATTTCTCATGATTTTTTGAAAGGTTTGAAATGAACCGAAATCATGACAGAATGATTTAACAGACAATATGACACACATAATTGCATTTATGAATGTCATTTAATGTCAGGAAGTAATATCTTTATGACTGATAATGATATAGAATTTCTGTATTCAAGTGCGATAGAGAAATAAAAAGATTCATTTTGTATTCATTGATCACTGATCAGAGTTTTGGTAAATTCGCTCTTTGGAATACGAATAATGATATTACAATATTATTTCAGGAAAAAAAAGCTTTTCAAATGTGGGTTAAGTAGTTGATGCATTAAGTTATATCCCAATTCCTTTTTCCGGCCCCTTCTCCCTGGAGAATATGAAATCACTCAATTAACATATGACGGTGTGAAATGGACAGCTCTTAAAACAAAGTGCATTTTACAAATCCTCAATTCTTTATCAAAACCACAAAAATTTGAAATTCTGAATTACATGTACAGTGAAACTTGTCTACAAAGACCACCAAAGGGAGGCAAGAAAAGTGGTCTCCATAGGCAGGTGGTCTTTATAGGCAGGTTCCTTTAGTACATGTTTCAATGAAAAACCATTTTCAAGGGAAACAAACAAATTGTGGGCTTTGTAGACAGGTGGTCACTAAAGCAGGTTTGACTGTACTTGTATCTTCCTTGAAATTGTATTCAACAATGAGTGCCTGTAAATTTCATGAATAAATAGATTCATAAGTAATTAACAAGTGTACTAAATCTGAATCTGTACAAATCCATGAACCTTCAATCCATTGTGTGTCTCTCACAGAATGTAGTACTACTGAAGACTGGAAAGCAAGCTGGTAATAAGGTAGTAAGTACGCACCCTGTGAGAAGCAACCCTCTACCACTATCACAGTCTACTACTTCTGCCAAGAGGAAAGCAGAACCAGCCGCTACAGCACAACCTGTTAAGGGCATACTGAAGAAACCAAGAAGTAAGAACAGTTTGCATTTAGCTCAGGCCTGATAAAAACCCGATTTAAATCGGTTTCCTGATTTTTGATTTATTTTTTTATTTTTGTCCAGATCTTTTCCAGATTTTTTTTCTTCCTGATTTTTTTTTTTTTTTTTTTACCCACTTTTTTTCTTCTTTTTTTTCCCGATTTTGTCCTGATTTCCTGATTTTTACCCTCATTTTCTCTATTCTTCCCTATTTTTTCCCAATTTTTTTACTCAAAAGGGGGGAATGTTGTTAGATGCCATTTTTTTCCCCGAATCCTCTTCTTTTCTTTTTTTACTCAAGGGGGGCATGGTTGAGCGGGAAAAAAACACCTTCTCTTTTGTTAGTGCTCACTATCACCCCTGATTTAGCTACAAGATATGTTATTTAGCCATACTGGCTTCTTTGTACTACTGAACTAACCATAAAGTTTTGGTAGGTTGAAGTAGAACTCTATCCTTCAGCACAATGTTTCAGAGAAACGGATAAGTAAGAATTTAATTAGCTACATGTTAATGTCATATCAGTTTCTAGTAGACAAATGATCATAAAAATAATAATGATAATAGTGGGTTCTTGTATAGCGCTAATAGGGACTTTTAGATTTGCGTGGACTGATATGTGTGACGTCCATTCAAGGCAGTGCATTAAAAGGACGTCGATCGTAGCAATCCCCATTGTCTTCGTGCGAATCTAAAAGTCCCTAATGTCTGTCAGACTTGACACTCCTGGTGCTCCACAATCAATAACCCAGCTTTACATTATGGCACTCTAGCATTCCAAGGAATTAATTTCTGCCAGGTACCCATTTACCTCACCTGGGTCGAGTGTGGCAAACGTAAATCATTAATGTCTTTCCAAAGGATATTAGTGTCGCGGCTGGACTCGAACCGCAAACCATGTGATCCACAGTTCGTTGACCTAGCTACTAGATCATGACACCTTCATAGAAATGCTTGCTTAGGTTTACCACCATCTAAAGAGATTGATGTAACCATGCAACCTTTCCATCATTCAGGCCTGATAAAAACATGATTTAAATCGGTTTTTCCGATTATTATTATTTTTATTGTTTTTCCCTGATTTTTTCCTGTTTTTTTCCCCTATTTTATCCTGATTTTCCCGATCCCCCCTTATTTTCTCTATTCTTCCCTATTTTGCCCTATTTTTTTCCCAATTTTCTTACTCGAAAGGGGGGAATGTTGTTAGATGCCGTTTTTCCCCCGCGAATCCTCTTACTCTTACTCAAGGGGGGCGTGGTTGAGGGGAAAACAAAAAACATGTATTTTTTTTAGCGCTCACTCTCACCCCTGCATCATTGCAGTTTCTGTTTTCTTGAATTCCACATATATGCATCTGTAGTGCTGCACTAACATCATATTATTTGATTACTTTTTCATATTTTCATTTTTAGTTGGTCTACCCTATGATGACTCCTCATCTGATGAATCAGACAATGAAACAACACAAGACAAGTAAGTTTCATTGTCCATCCTGCTATCTTGAAGATTTTTTTTACCTCTTTCCTTCCAAGCTGGTTGCAGAAAACCAACGGTAAATGTATGACATCTCAAATACACGTATCTATGTATTTAACTTGGTGGAGTATGGCATGGCCTAGATAGATATAGACTCGATTTGTGTGATATGTCACTAACGGGGCAAGGATCCCAGCCATAAATAGTAAAGACAATATACAAATCATTGAACATGTTGCCTATTTTAAGCTGACCTTTTCTAGATTAATATTTACCCCTTTTTTCTGTTTTATTAATTTTTTGTGTGTGTGTTTCTTGAAAACATGAATTTCTAATAAACGACTTGTATTACCCCTTTTAATCAATGTCTTTTTACCATGCTCTTACGTGTTTGTCAAGAGAAATGTAAGTTAATTAATATTTCCCACTTCATGACCTCACTAACACTTGATTACATGTGAATGGATTTTAAATATAGGTTAATGCAATGTGATTTATTTGCCTATGAAAGCTGAACCTCTTGTATTGTCCCTGTGTGTTTTTAATTCTGTAACTTTCTTTAAATCTCAACTGAAAACCTACTTGTTTAAAAACGCTTTCTAATGTCATTTAAACTGCAATATTGTATTCATCAAAATTTAATTAGATTACTTTTAGTTTTACATAATTTGCTTTCATTTCTCTGTAATTGATGTTTATAATGATTGATTATTGTCTTGTCCTTATTTCGATATTTCTTTAGTTCACGAATTAGTAGTTATGTATAATTTTGTTGTTTTAATATTGTAAAGCGCATTGTTATTTTCTCCGAAGATGAAATGCGCTATAGAAGCCTAGGTTATTATTATTATTATTATTATTATACATCCAACTTTACAGACTTCCAGCAGATTTCTTTGACAATGGTAAAGGCACATCATCCACACCAAGGACAGCAACATCTAGTACTTCATCATCACAGGTCAAGAGCAGGTCAAATGATGCCATCGCATCAGGGCTTCCAGCAGGTAGAAAGTGCTACTTAAAAATATAGACGGGTAGTGGTAAAATTGCGGTTCAAGGGTTTTGGGTGCAAAATATCCATTCAATATTGTTTAAGTATTGCCTTCAGAAGTTCAATAATTCAACCTAAATTTGCAAAAAAGCAGAAATATCTGCCTAATTGTTTAATGTTGAAGCGCGTTCGCAATATCTATCCAGGCCGGATCGATATGAGGACTTACCAAATCAATTAGTAGGCGGTTTCCCGGCAAAATTTGTATCATCACGTATTAGTAAAAACATATTCTTTCACATGATTGGTTATAAGAGCTTCCATTTCATTTTTTGAGAGGGGGCGTTTCCAAAACTGGTCTATACCTTTAAGTCTAGTCTCAAAACATTAAATGATATTTCATATTGTTTTCAATTATCATACTTCAATGAGACTAAAGCATGGTACATTTGCACTCAAAATAAATGATATCAGACACTGAATCTATCAAGAGATGATGTTAAATATAGTTTATTGTCATGATGTGCTACGATATTACTCTCGTGTTGAGTTCAGATATGGGCTTTATCGTTATAATTGTTTTTATTGCTTTGTAGCGAGTTTATCAAGTGAAAATGCAAAAAATAATAACAGTATATCACATTCTGATTATAGAAATTGTTGTGTGCTGTCTTGTATTGTATCAGAAAAGTCTTACATCATTAACATTGAGTTTCAAAAAAAAATTATTTGCAGACTTTTTTGACAGCGGTGCTTCATCAAATAATGTTGCAGGGGAACCTTCAGGTACAGATGGTAAAGAAGACCAAGATCAGGCCAAGTGAGTAAAATCCTACCTTATAAAAGGCAGTCCTCTAATGCATAGTGTGATTCCAACCTGCCAATCAATACAATGAAACTGTAGTACAGTGGAAACTCGTTATTATAATAATAATAATAGTTCAGTTCTTGTATAGCGCTTAATACGTTATGAAATAACATCTCTATGCGCTTCCAAAGAGCTTTAAAATTTATTACCCTAGCTTTAGCTCCGGCAGCCTTATCAGCCCACAGTGCATTTCCCTCATTTACCTCACCTGGGTTGAGTGTGGCAATTGTAGATCAATGTCTTACCAAAGGACATAATCCACTCGACCACAACACCTCTACTATGTAATAAATGATTACGTTTGGACCAAGGAAATTACCTGTTATATCAGGAATCTTTTTATATCGGGGTAAAAAAAAACATAAGAATATAAAGAGCTGGGACCAGCAAAATCACCTTGTTATAACAGATACCTCATTATATCAGAGCTCATTGTACTGTGGTTCCACTGAGGTTATGCATATTTTAAACTTTAAAAACTATTTTATCCCTTCCTCAGAAGACATTATGCTTTTCATGCGTGTATTTCACCTAATTCTGTATCTTAAGGGTAAAGGAGTAGATTGTACTTTTGTTATTGTACCTTTTTATGTTGGATTGAAATATTCTTCAATGTAATATTGATCAAGGTTAAAAGAATAAATGAGGTTTTATTTTTATTTCAAAAGACGTTATGCTTTCCATTCATGTATTTTTATATAATTCTGTACCTAAAGCTACGGTCACAAAGGTTCGTACGAACAATGTGTTCGTACAAATCTCCGTTTTTCCATTGTCTGAAAATTGTTTTGTACGGCGTTCGTAGCAGTTTGTAATGGCATTTGTGACCGAGGCTTTAGGGGTAAATGAGTAGATTGTTTTTTGTTATTTTACCATTTACTAATGGATTGTAATATTCTTTAATGTAATATTGATCCAGGTTAAAGTATTAATCAGGTTTTATTCTTTGCTCTCTCGTTTTGTCCGTCTCCAGTAAGCCGATGGCAGAGGTTCTTCCAGAAGGCTTCTTTGATGATCCTGTTAAGGATGCGAAGGTAAAGAATTTCAGTCATTCTTCCTGAGTAGAGATTATGAAATTTATTGTATTTCAAATACTTTCTCTCAAAGCATGTCATGAAAAATTAAAAGACTAGATATGAGGTGGGAGTTTCCAGGGACATTAATAAATCTTGGTGGGCAGATAATATACTACATGAACTCATCATTTGAATTCAGTTTCAAAAGATTCTAATTTGTCAAACTTTATTAGTAAATTACATCAAGCTAATGAAACTTCTACTTTCTTTTCTCTTTCCAAATTAAAGAAAGTCTTTGTCATCATCTTGATCTTATCATAATGTGTAATGGTGTGATAAGCTACTTTGCTTTGTAATTCCTAGGTACGGAAAGTAGAAGTGAGGAACACAATGGAGGAAGAATGGGAGAAATTCCAGAAAGAGATGCAAACACAGCAGCAGGTCAGTTTACTTATGTTGTCTGAAGAACATCATCATCATCACCATCATCACCATCATCATCATCATCCTCACCATCATCATCATCATCATCATCATCACCATCATCGCAACAATTGTCATGATCATCCCTGTCATTACGTTAAAGGCATTGTTTAACAATGTTAAATCTGAGATACATGGCCCTACGTGTTATCAGTGTCTGTAATATGGTGTAATATTGAAGCCCTAAAAAAATTGCGCTTTAAAATAATCATGAAGTGCCTCAATAATGTGAAAATCTTTGAGTGACTGAATTTATCATACTTATTTCCCCCAAAAGACTGTAGTGTTATAAAATTGGCATCATCAGTTTAAGGTCCGCGGTTCGAGACCTGCCGCGGCACTAATGTCCTTTGGCAAGACATTGATCTACATTTGCCACACTCAACCCAGGTGATGTAAATGGGCACCTGGCAGGAATTAGTTATTTGAAATGCTCGAGCGCCACAATGGCAGCACAGCTAAAGCCGGGGTAATAATCTCCAAGTTTGGAAGTGCTTAGTGATTCTAATAAGCACTATATAAAAACTGAGTATTATTATTATTATTATTATTGTTATTATTATTTAAAATCATTTTGAAACTATTTGTTCTCCTTTTTTTAAAGGTGTCAGAAAATCTAGCAGAGGAAGACGATGAGGCAGCACAGACAGAAAGAAACATTGATGAGATAGATGAACAAATGTAAGTCTTATCATACTAAGGAACATGTGCCATAACACATTTTTGATTGATGATATATTCTCATTCAGGTTGTGTTTCCCTCCATCTCTGTCTGTCTGTCTCTCTGTCTGTCTCTCTGTGTCTGTCTCTCTCTCTTTTCTCTCTGTCTCTCTCTGTGTCTCTCTCTCTCTCTCTGTCTCTCTCTGTCTCTCTCTCTCTGTCTGTCCTTCTGTCTCTCTCTCTCTGTCTGTCCTTCTGTCTCTCTTTGTCTGTACGTCTCCTCTCTCTCTCTCTCTCTCTCTCTTTGTCTGTTTCTCTCTCTCTCTCTCTCTTCTCTCTTGCACTCGTCTCCAGGACCTCCTCTCTCGTTACTACAATACCTAATGCACACTCAGGTTCTTCCTTTACAAAATTGAAACTCATACTACATTCACTTTTTTCACTTTTTTTTACAACAAAGCCACAAATATATAATTTTGGAATCTGACGTGGATGGCATAGCCATTTTACTTGTCACAAAATGTCAAACTAAGGAATGATACAAAAGTTACTTGTATACTAAAAATTTAGCTACATGGCAGTTATTCTTACTATGATATTTTAGTGCTGTAAAAATAAAATTTAAAAAAAAACGTCAAAATAAAAATACAAGGGATTTTTTCTTATTCTATTACTGTCCATCTATTTTCCGATGTTGTATACACGATAGAATGATAGACAAGTGACGACTGATTTATGCCTTCTACATTCTATTCTTTTGCAGTCAATGTTTCGCCAAAGTGGAGACACTATGGGACAAGAAGGACGAGCTGAAATCAAAGGCTGAAGACAGAGAGAAAAAACAGGATGAGAACGAACTTGACGAGAGTGGAGATGAGGCAGATTTTGATGAATTCTTAAACTGGAGATCGAAAGGAGCGTATAAATGAGACTCTGTGCCCATCTCTTATGATTATTCAAAGGAACAATGTTGTGTGCATTGAAATGTCTTACTTTGCAGTCTGAAAGACAATAAAAACTGGCTACCATGTTATGAACACTCACTGCATTGATGATCAAGCAGAGGTCTTATCAACACTCTTACTAGCGCGTGTGAAACATCTACACCAAGGAATCATGACCAAGGCAACACTCTTACTTTGTATAAGTTTATGTTATCTTTTGGTGAACATGTTATGTAACATGTCTTCATATTGTTGAGGAATACTGGTACGTCTAACAAAGTTCATGTCATTTTCATGTAAGAAGTGTGCTCCACATGAAAATCTGACTGACAGTTAGGCAAAGATCTCAACCCCAGAGCTCGACAGATACATCAATATATGAGCAAACAACCTAATATTTGCCCTCTTTAACTGTGACAGTCATCTTTAGAACAAATTTATTTTTATAAGTGATGGTAGATGAACTTTTTCAGGCTTGAAAATTGAAATGAAACACAAATGCATTCAAAAGTGATATAACAACAAAAAGAGTGAGTTAATTCTTTCGCAAAATGATTTATTATATGTAATAGGTTATTTTGGCAAGCTTTGTGCCATGTTTTGTCTATCTGACAAAGACATGAAATTTCTAAAGTAAAAAGTTAGTAAAATTTTGAACTATCCATTCAAAGGTCTGATATTCTCTTCTTACACTCATCACCTGGGTAATAATACTTCTCAATGGTAATACATTAAACTCAGACTATTGGCAAGAGTTAAGTGGACAGTAAAATGACCTACCGGTACTCTAACGCAAACCTCCCTTGTCTATAAGTCCCTAATAAAAAACACCCATCAAATCGTTGTTCTGATGCACAGGCAATTACACAAAACTTTCACTAGCTCACCTGATACTTTTGTCATTTAGATTCTTTTTGATATACGCTGTAGATTTGAGCAGTGTCATGTCAACATCTCTGTATAAAATACATTGAAGTCATGATTAAATATTTTGTATCAAAATAAACCATAAAAATGTGTGTTCTGTTCCTTCTTGAAGAGTTTGATCAATGCAAACAATATGAAACAAGTTTAATACACAATTTGTCTAACATTAAATATTTCAAATATATAATAGCATCTTTTCCTGAATTATACATTAAATGTATCTTGCAATGTGACATAACATCAATGATAAATCTCAAAACAAAGTTAAAGTTATATATATATACAGAGTACTGGCTGAATAATATATTGCACAATCAAATACATCTTACATCATTTTTAACAGGCACCATATTTTTACTTGGCTATTAAGTTTGCTGATTAAAGGTGAAGGTTTACTCTAATAATGGATGTCCAGATTTAATTGTGCCTAAGTCATAAAATAATGCCTTTGCAATAAAAAATATGGTACACAAAAAAAGTAATATGGGCCATTTTTTCCTTTTCACAATGCTGTACATTGTATAGATTTTGTGAGTTATAAAGAGGTCCTGTGTGTTCACCTCTCGTGAGTGATACTAGTCACGTATTACACCAAAACATAAGCCTCTAAAAACATAATTGATCTAGTCTCTTTGAAATGTAGTAAAATAGAATAAAGCCTTTTAATTCCTTCCGATACCTTCTAATGTACATACTAGTGAGACATATATATACACACAGTTTATCTTGTTTAAGTAGCATTATATTCCACATACTAAGAATCTTGCTCTACGATTGGTCAAAAGTAAATCACGTGATGAAAGATAGTTCGCCCATCATTGCTGGTAGAAGCAAAACGTTTGTTACACTGTGAAGATAGTAGTACTATCTACACAGGGCAACGCACTTTCACTAAAGATAGAAGTCCTATCTACACAGGGCAACGTACTTTAATTGTATAGGCTACACTGCATATACTTTCCTCTTTAAGCGCTTTTAGTGTTAGTACGCGAACTTTGGTCACGCGCGAACTATATGGTCACACCATGCACTATACGTATCGTACACCGTTTGCTAGCTGTTAATCAATGACTTGTTGGTCTAAAGTGACGGAAGAAGTGAAATGAACCCGATGTGAAATATAAAGCAAATAATCACCTTTTGGTTTCAGGCGATGGCAAACTATCACTTCCTCGGCGATCTAAATGTATACGCTATCTTTCCTCAGCTTCGCTTCGGAAAGATAGCTACATCCAGATCACCTCGGAAGTGTTAGTTTGTCCCATCACCTTCACCAACGGTAGTTTTTTTGCTTACTATTTACTTTTCTTTTTTTACAGATTTATAGCACAATTTGACATATATCTTTACATCATACAGTAGTCTCTGATGAAGTACATCTTGCTAGCACCCTCACCGCATCACCTTTCCTCACTTTGACCCCTTCTTTAAGATTAGCACCATTCATGAGGTGGACTCCAAAGAAAATCTGCAATAATAATTGGTACAACAATTTTTATAAATAATTTGTAGAAATAATAAAAAACTTGACAAAGAAGGATGAAACCATGATAAATCAGAATTAAAAAGGATAGAAAATGGTACAAATCGAGTAATCTACACGACACAATAATTAATGGGGGAGGAAGAATTAACAATTACATGAAGCGTTTCTATTTCATGAACATTCATTAAAAAATTCAAAAAAATATCAGGCTAAATATAAATAACTTTATGAAAGAAAAGGTTCTTTGAATGTCCTGCCACACAAAGCCAAACACATACATGTAGGACCTAACAACAACCCAAATCATTTCTAGGATATTGGTAGTCTGACCGTCTGACTGAAAATATTAACAAACTTAAGTCCCATATGGTTGCGCTATTTCTCAAATCTATTCAAACATGCACAGATCCATAATAGTAGTTCAGCAGAAAATATAGAGTAGACCTCACCTTTTTGCTCCTGACGGCTGATAGCGTATACAGAGGCTCGGTGCCCTTCTCAGCTGTATCCTGGTTGATACAGATCATTTGACAACGGTTACAGCAACCTTTGACCTACATAATCAAGGAGAAATTTGGAAACTATAACTGTAATAATTACAAAAATTGGTCTGTTTTCAACAAAAACTAAAGGGGAAGGATAGATGTTCACATGCAAACCTGATGAGCCCTGCATACAAGTATTAAACAGGGATATGATCATGTATTTGCAAGGTGAAATGCATTTCAGTTTTATTTGAATGAAGATTCTGAAATGGCAAACCCAAATCGTCCTGCAATTGGGGTAATAGACTGGTTTACTACAGTCAAACCAGCTGTAGTGACCACCTGTCTACAAAAAACACATTTTTTTGTTTCCCTTGAAAAATCAAAATGGTTTCTCATTGAAATATGTAGTAAATGAACCTGTCTACAAAGACAACTTTTTGTGTTTCCCTTGGGCAGTCGCTATAGACAGGTTTGACTGTATTACATATTCAAATTTATGGATGTTTCTTACCTGGAAACCTAGTGAGGAGGGTATTCCATTAACCTGTTATTAATGAATGAACCATGCATTTACCTGTTGCTATGTCAGGGAAAACCTCAAGCAAGCTTTAGAACAATCTTTCTTTACACAGAAGTCACACAATTTGAATATGTTTGTAAACAGGTCTATTGCTACCAGGATGATATGGCAGAACTCACAATAACCCTTCGTTCGTTTGTGTCTCCTTAAATACCGGTAGATCAAGATTAATGTATCTTGAACATATTCCTAAAACAACAATAAAAAGTGATGCATATATATAATATCTTCCTACCTCAAACTCTTGACCTCCGATGGCTATCTTGCTCCATGATTCCTCATCGAAAGCACTACATCCCTCTACCACAAGGTTGGACCTGAATCGTGATACCATGTCGTCCATGGACAACTGATTACCATGACCCTCTTGATGCGATGACTGTTTGACTGCTGACAGGAGGGAGGCTGAGGAAGCTGCAGTCACTAAGAGGTACTGAGATTGGTTGGCGAGGGAGAGGGAGCAATTTGATGCCCTCTTGGCTGTGTAATGCAATGAGACAATTGGAGACGTTCACTGGGGGGTTTCTTTGCCAATCTGGATCTTATGACTGTTGAAGGTTACTTTACCATGAATTAACAATGCTCCAACAAGTGAATTAATTGTGATCAGTACTGATGAGTGAAGCTGAACTGAATCCTAATATGGACGACACATTAAAACACAATCAAGTATGGCTAGTCTTGAACACGTTGATGTATAAATTCAATGCACATACCTATTCCCTCACCCCCATGTATTTCTTTTTCTCCTCTATCTCATATTCTAGCTTTTGGTTACTCAAACAAATCTTTGACATCTAAAGAAGTGAAAAGACATTTATCCTCCTCAATTTAACCCAACTTCATCTTGAACAACTTCATCTTGAACAACTTCATGTTCATTTTTCAAGAAGAAAAGTCATGTCAGATTAAAGACTTGGCTACACTTACCTATATTTCTGTTGAGTTTACTCGCTCTGTGGTAATCTGGATCCTGCTGCTGCAGACGACAACGTTGACCTATGACCTCTGTAAGCCACGCTGCAACCTCATCTCCACAATCAATTGTATTTACTCTGTTAGGACAGGAACAGAAACAAACACTCAAAGGAACAATGCATGAATCCAAGGACACAATACAAGGAATAATTTATAAATAGCAAAATACAAAAAGTCATTAAAAATTAAGTAAATATACATTGGGAACATTTTTTCCTGTGTAACAAAACCATGTTGTTATTTAATGAAGATGACCATTTTCATCGTTTAAGTGAGAGTCATGGAAATGGAGGTGTCTTTTATAGTGGTACATAGAAAAGTTGGAACTTCCTCAGTTTGCCAATCTCAATAATATCTAAATTGAGTCTCTCTGCTTACTTTTCATCACCTCTTTGGCTTGCAATATCAATAGAAAGGGATTCCTCATATGGGGAAAATGCTGATAATTAAGTGTATGTGGTCATGTAGACTTTGTAATGAAAAAAGAATTTGACACTTTAAGAACATCAAGCAATTCTCACTACCATAACTACAGAATTTGGCCAAAGAGGGCCGCACTGGCTATGGGTATATTTGGCAAAGTTCCCATACAAATACAATGGGTCGAGAACTGGAAAGTCAGATAGAAATCAGAGTGTCGGAACCTATTAATTATTAGTAACAGATTATGATGGTGCCTACATAGATCTCATCAAATCATCGGGGGAGTTCATGAGTTTAGTAAAATAGGGAATTACTTGACAGTGCTGTACATTCTCTATGGAAGCCGGAAGAAACTTTTTCATATCACCTTCCCTGGTATCGTATGTGCTGACCTGCGAAGTGTAGGAGGAAGGTCGCCATCTACTGTTGAACATCATGTCTGCAGTAGGTTCAATTGTATGAATACACAGTTTCCAATCACACACTAGTCTGAACACACCCCCCGTTCACATTCACTCTTACCTATCCCCACACACCTTGCCTTGACTGAGGGATCGTTCATTGATGTGAGACCTGGAGATATCCAGCGGCAATATGAAAGGTTGCTTATCTGAACAAAGTAGAAATGAAAGGAAAAAGTCTCAGTCTATCTATTTATCTTTCTGTATCCCATAGCTTGAAGGCTGTTGGGGTGACAACAAAATGGACCTTGAGACACAGGTTCAGTAGATGATGTATATGACATGACTGATGAACAATACTGGTACATGGACCTCAAAAGCAATCAAAGGATTATTATGGTTTCCAAAGGGGATAAAACAGCTCTCTTTATCGACTTTTATCGACTGTGAAAAATTAAGAGAGAGGATTTTCTTTACAAAGTCATTAGCATTTGCATAGAAAAATATCTGTTGTCTATCAAGTCAACAAGTAATCTTATTTAAATTGTTTGGATACAATCTGTGGCAAATATTTGTTTAAGAATGGTAGATTACATAGAACAATGCTACTTATATCACCTTGAGTGTCATTTTGTACATTAGATCTTACATTTTTATTATGGTTTCTCTAGTTTTTATAGATGTTGGACGTTACTGATCACAGAGCCTTTACTTGCTT